TAGACTTCAATGCCGTAAACATATTTCATCCAGTTTTTCTCAATCTTACCCCCACCCCAATGCCAGCCTCAAAATATCTCTTTTAAAGTAGAAAATCAATAGAACAACATATATAGATCAGTTTTAAGAAATATTTTGACCCACTTTTCGAACTGTGTTTGCATGTTCTTTCAATACCATTGTATTATTATTGTGCTTATTCAGTCTTAAAAATTCTGTGTTTTGAAGTCATTTCAAAGATTTAGCAAAACCTAACTAAAAACTATATTACACATTTTAACTTTTACGTTGTATATATACCAAATTCATTTTTCAAGCCTCGTAATCCTTATTATGCTTCAAAATAAATGGTATATTAAACTGTATTATATGAATAATCATTTGAATTCTTTTTAAATTTTAGTATTATTCTGTTACATTATCAATGTCTTTAAAATATAAAGAACAAGAAAATTTTGTATAATGTAAATGTAATATTTATGCATGAAAGTAGGAAATGCAGAAATTATTATCAAGGTGTTATTTGAACTACAATACCAGCTCTTAATCTAAATGTATTTGACAGATATTTCTATAGTGTCATTTCAATTAAATGATGTCCATGTGGTTAACATTGACATAGCATGAATAAAGTTTATAAAACAGATTTTTCTCAAAGGTATAGGCTTACAAAGCCATTTACTTTAACATCATATTGTAAAAAGATGTTTGCCTTTCTGTAATGCTAATTTTGTTTTACCTTTTATTGATGAAACTTTACATAACTATTAATCATTCCATCTTGATACAGATTTCTTCTATGCCAATTTATGGCAGCTGATGAGGTACAGTAATTTTTTAAAGATAAAAATTCCTGTTTTCTTTTCTCCAGCTACCAAGTATTTATCAAAGCATCTTTTTAAAAAAATTTATATCTTTATGAATACAAATAAGTTTCCATATTGCAGAACCATGTCAGAGTGATGATACATTTTTAAGGCTGTAAAAAGGTTAAAGTTTATTGCAAAATACTACATTTGTCATCATAATTGCAAAGTAAGACATTAAGTGTAAGACAAGTGCATTTGATTAGTGACATAGTACATCATTATTTCCATTAGAAAGAGGAAACTCTGCCTCAAATGTAAATATTTAGGCCACAGTATATGAATATGAGTGCAGTATAGATTAGATATTAAAAATTTCTTAATTGTGCCTTCAGAGAAACAGCCTGAAAAAAAGAATAAAATGATCCAACAGCAAATAAATTACTGTCTGGGGAATGACCTAACAAAATTATTAGGTGATAAAGTCACCTGGTTTCCCAAATATTAAAAAAACTCTTACAAGTTTTTTTCAATTTTAAAAACCATTAATAATCAAATTTAACAGTTAACTTTGGCCTGAAGTTGAGAAGAGCTTAAGTAACTGCATCAGCAAGTTTTTTGTGAGATTTTGAGAGAGTGAATCCCATGTTTTAGGACTTAGACTGCGTAGTTTTTTTACTGCTGAGATATTGATACTGTTTGAAGGTTATAAGGATATGTCACAGAACAATAATAGAGACCTAAGATAGTCTTAAAATTTTATGGAGACCTAGACATGTATATTGATAAAGATCTTGACAGTCTAAACAACTACAATGCTTAACTGGGCATTTGTAAATTTTTTAAAAAATCATATAATGGCAAGAAATAAGAAGTGAATTTCTAAAAGCTAATCAATACCCTGATATTGGTGTTATGCTTTTAATCTGTAATATTAGTTTGTTCAACTAAAGAATATCCTGGCATAGTTTGTAGGGAGTTGTGCTAATCCAAAAGCCTTGCTTTTTTGGAATCAATCAGAGATTCCACGGGAGAAAAACGGACAATTTCCTCAAACGCATTTATGGCCTCTGAAAGCACGCTTAAGGATCAGCTATGAGTCAGTTCTGACTGGATAGCAATTGATTTTGAGTTAAATATTTTGAAATATATTCATGTTTGAATTAAAATTTGAACAGTATTTTGGAATCAGGAGTGGTATCCACATCTTTCACAACATGCCTCTGGAAACTCTATGAATGTTGAGAAATGATGATAATCATAGAAAGGCTTCAGGTCTTTTGGTTTGTTATGAGTCATACTCAAATCAATGGCAATCAAAAACAGCAACAATATTTCGTTTATAAATAGTTGATCAGATAAGTGAAAATTCTCATTTCATATCATGCACACTTACATTCTAAATAACCAATCCAGGTTGATGATTTGCATTTTTTTTAGTTCATATTTTGTCAAAAACCTCCATGTAAGTGGAATAAAAATCTATGTTGAGTAAGATTCTAGACTTCAAAAATAATATATCCTCCCAGTCCAGTTCAAAGAAAATATCTTAAAAATAAACAGCTTTCTGTAATTTCTCTGTTTGTACTGATTTTAGTTTGAAATAAGCTTTGGAATTAACTAAGACTTACTTAGCTAAAAAAAGACACTCAACAATATGCACTGGCAGTGATACAGTGGTCTTGAACGTGACTGAGATTATGAGGATATTGCAAGACAGGACGAAGTTCAGATTTCTTTGTTCATTTGTTTTGTTTATAGGGTTTGTATAAGTCCCAGTTCACTTGATAGCATCTACCAATAACAGCAAGAAGCCTTCTTCTCATTCAGAATTGTAGTCATAATGGTAAGGAACATTATGATCAGGAATTGTGCTGCTGCTACAGCAGTAGAAACATGGGCGTTCTCCTCTAGTGTGCTTTACTGCCTCTGAAAAACTGCTAGAGGTCACTAATGGCGCCAGTTCTTACTTGATAGGACACTGTTACAACAACAGAATATTAGAGTATACTTAGTTTATATTTAATTTTTAGGAAACTTAAAAATGAGTTATCACCACTAAATTTTGCTCAATTAAATATTATCTCACTATGTAGCAATTCTTCATAGAGGAATTGTTTTTTAGACTAAAATCCTCTGCAGGAAAGTACTAGAAAATTTTACACATTAGAATTGCAAATTACTCATTTTGTAAAATTTTAGTGTGAACACTCGTTTGATGCCTAAATCTTCATCACAACCTTCTTTTGTATTAATTAAGTAATTAGAGGAAAAAGAATACTAGTGCCTTTTGGAGCCAGTCATTCAATTTTAAACTTTTCCTGCTTCCCTTTATTTTCTTAATGATATACTTTTATATCTTTTTCAGCCTGTGATCAATTATCACTTGGGGTAGCTGCCATCTTTGGGCCTTCACACAGCTCTTCGGCAAACGCAGTGCAGTCCATCTGTAATGCTTTGGGGGTTCCCCACATACAGACGCGCTGGAAGCACCAAGTGTCAGACAACAAAGATTCCTTCTATGTCAGTCTCTACCCAGACTTCTCTTCGCTCAGCCGTGCCATTTTGGACCTGGTGCAATTTTTCAAGTGGAAAACTGTCACCGTGGTGTATGATGACAGCACTGGTAAGAAAAATCCGTAGCCTTTGAGTCTATGCTAAACATAAATATTTTCTGTAGTCTGCTCCAGATTGGTACTATATATGTTTTATATTTATGTAAGTTAAAGGATAGAGAGTAATTTTAGTCTAATTGATGTTAGTCCTCAAATCTAAAGTGCAAGTAAAACATGAATTTTTAAAATCTAGTTGTTGGTTTAATTTGAACTAATTTAAAGGATAGAAATAGTATGACGTATACCATGGATGCATATATATAAAGAGTTTTTCTTCTAAATTAGGTGAGTTTCCCAAAGCAAAACTTCCTGCTTAGTTGAAAATGGAACTTTTTTCTTAATGGAAAAAAAAAAAAGAAGTTTTACTTCATCTGTTTCTTCAGTTGTTTATATACAAAAAAGGCACATTAAAAGTTGTAACATTATATAACAAAACAGTGCTTAAAGAACTTCTCGGCTAAGAACAGTAAGAAGTCTGGAAGCTTTGTGTTAGAGAATTGTGCCAAACTAAATGGGTATGGCTAGAATCCACAAGCCCCTCAAGATGATCATTCTCCATTGTGAAGGCACCTCTGTAAACCCCAATAGTCATTTATGTGTTTGTACTGACTTGAACGTTTGACTATTAGAAATATTTGAATACTTGATTATTACACAAGAACGTGGTTCCCTATGAAGTTGGAAATGTTTAAGTAGAGAAACAGTTTAGAGATTGGAAATGTTTATGTGGAGATTGCATTTAGAAATTTGGGAAAACTGAATTTGTTAATGATGTTTATTTTGGAGTCTTGAATGTTGTAGTAACTTGGTCTCTAATAATTTACAACCCTTCCTTTTAATGTACATAATTATTTTTGTAAACGAATTATCTTGAGATATCAATATAAATTAAGTCTCTCAGAGAAAAAAAATTAAACAGTAAACTTGAAGTTTTATTTTTCTTGAATATTATATTTGATAAAGGAGAGATGCTGTTTTGTTGATGACAAGTAATTTCACATTAAAATATAAGAAAAGATTGGGAAATATTTAACATGAATCAGTAGTGATTAATCTTATAAAACAGTATCTGGGGATGATATCATTAAACACAATGTGAATAGAGCATGAAACACAATATATATAAACTAAACACAAAGAATATGAATTTTGTTATATAAACCAATATAAAATTGAAAGAATGTAAACATATAAACAATGTTCTTAAAACCAGAAAATTAAAAACAACCTCTCAATCTTGCACTTCACTGTTCCTTCCTAATCATGCTTAGACTAAAAGCCTCTTGAATTTGAATTTTCTACAACAACCAGGAGCTCCCTTTATTTATGTACTGTAGGCTGCACATGGAAATATGTGTTGTTGTTATTGTCAAGTGCCAACAAGTCGTAGGCAACTCATACTGGCCCTATTAACAAAAGACCTGAACACTTGTATAACTTTCATCCTTTCTCCAGGTTCATAGGGTTTCTGAGCCAAGCTATTTTGGAAGTGGATGCCACTCCTGCTTTCAAGTTTGTTTTAAATGGGGAGCGCCACCGAACACTGTCCACCATGGGTAACCATTATCACATTTGACACATCAGTGTCACAGCGTTCAGCTTCACAGCAAACACAAGTTACCTAAGTTACCTCTGAACAGCAAGTGGACAGACCAGGCTATATGACTTAAAAGAATGTTTGAGCAAAACCAGTTAAAAGCAGGCCTGAGGGCCATGCATTAAAGTCATCCACCTTTGGCTTGGTAACATCACTTTCTGTCCACTAGGCCAACTGATCTCTCTGTATGCTGTTGCTGTTGTTGTTAAATGCCATCGAGTCATCGTTGTTGTGGTTGTTATGTGCCGTCGAGTCGCTTGCGCATAGCGACCCTATGTACAACAGCCCTAAACTCTGCTCTGTCCTGCGCCAATTGCACTGTCTCTGACACTCCCATCCTGATTACCCCAGTCACTGAATCAATCCACCTCATAGAGGGCCTTCCCCTGCTGTGCTGTTCCTC